TTTACAACCATGACATGAACTTATCTTGTCTCCCTTCTAAATGCCTGCTTTATTAGTTGTGTGGCTACATAGAAACAGGCCCTGGCACTGCAGAGACCGTTTTTGCTGAAGGAAAATCACCCTATGCTATTGACTCGATGACGGCAATTCCAGCCTTGTCAGCAACGCGGAGCCAGGATGCACTGCTGCTCACTCCGCTATTCCTGTACTGAGGTGCTTTACTAAGGAAAGACTTTGCATTTTCAGGGACTCAAAGCAGGGAATACACCAGTGGGATGTGGAAGCTTGAGCTGTTGGGCTCTAGGGTCACACACCATTCGAGCAGAGTCACTTTGAGGCTATCCCATTCTTCGTGCTGGTTCCTTCTCCCCCACTCTTGTTTTGCAGCAATAAATCCCCCAGCCTTGGCCATCTCACCAGCAACAAGTCTTTCTTGAATGAGCCAAGCATCTCCCAGGCAACAAGGCAGGCTGTGAAAATAACAAGAGCTTTCCTGGCTGTTTGATTGCTCTCACCTCCCAAGAACTGCCCAGGCTTTTATCTGCCTCCCTTGGTCAAAACCACCGGCTGGCAGTAACTCAGCTGCATCTCCTTGGGTCAGAATGGAGGGAGGAAGGGGGTGAGCAAGAGATGACTCTGGCTTTAATGGAAAAATTTGACAGATCTTTTCATCTTGATGAACGCTGGGCTGAAATATTTGTCTGGGGATGAACCCGGCCAAGCCAGCCTGGTAGGGATGGCTGCTCAGAGCCTGTGGCATCACRCGGGCTTCTGCTGGACACCCAGACAAGAGCAGCCTCCCTGCGTCGTTGATGAGCGGCTGAAGCACCGCTCCACTTCCCCCTTTTCCTCCTGCCCTTATGCAGAAGCAGCCTTACATGGTGGGATGGTTTAGTGTTAAATTGCAAGGATTGGATGTGTCTTTGCTGCAGTGCCAACAAGGTGTCCTGTGCCCATTCCTCTGGGTCACCCTGTTGGCTATACTTGACAAAAGGCTCCCCCAGCCCATGATACCTGGTTCCCCCGAGTCCTCCTGCTGCTCTGTATCTGCCCAAAGGCATCAGGAGCTTTTCTGCATTTCMCAGAGAACATTTAGCCAAATGCAGGAGGAGACAGCTGCTCTGAGCAGACACGAAGCCTGACATGAAGCAAAATCCACAATTATCTCTAGCTGATGAGTAGGAAAAGATGGTTGAATGTGGGCAGATCTGAGACAGAGGCCTCTGCCACGTGCTGCTCAGTTCAAATGGCAAGGACACGATGCATGGAAGTGGCTGTGTCCCATGGGCCTAACCACTACTTTAAAATGTCACCAAGGCGCCTTTGCCTAGCTGGCTGCATCACCACGTAGGGCTGCTGCAGTCTTGCTTTGCCACCGYGCCTGCAAACAGGTCTCAAACATGTTTAATGCCTTCACCACTACTTAGGATTGGCTTTTGTAGTAAAACCAGAGACGTTTCCAAATTCCTACTGGGAAAACAGGTCAATTTTAATGATATTCCCTAGAAATCACACCCTGGAGCTGTGACCCTCCCATCCTGAGTATTTCTGGTCTGTGCCACCTGTCCTGGGATGCTCTGTCTGGTAATTACTGAAAAGTTTTCAGCCACTCAATCTCCACCTGTTTTGAGCTCTTCTTGCTCTACAGCTGCTCTTATTCCCTTGCTTTCCTTGCCTGAAAAGCCAATGAGCAACAGGACCCCTAAATAAGCCAAGGATGGATGAAAACCTCATGTGGGTATCACTGTGAGGGCCAGCCTGGGGCTTGGCATGGGCTGGTTCCCAGCAACTTGGCCGCACTCGGAGATTTTGGCTCTTCTCCCTTCAGCAGGGYCCTACGGGCTGGATTTTCTACCAGTTTCTGGAGCCAGCACTGACCTTCTGTGTCAAGGAGACTTATATGTGCCTTAGGCTGTGCCTTATATGTGCCTTCAGGCCTGTCTTTAACCAGAGGAAAGCCCACCCCTTTCCTACCTGTTCTTGAATTGAGGTGCTTGTGTTGAGTTGTTTTCTAGCTCCAAACTGCCGTGTCCCCTTTGCTCTGCTTGGATGCATGGAGAGGCTACCAGTAAGGAGTCATTTTTTATTTTAACAATAAATTATACTGCTGAGACTTCTATAAAGCACAGGCTGTATGTTGTGGCCTGACTTCTCTGCGTGCTAATCTGATTAGAAAGGTCAGGACTAAGCAGTGAGCTATAGGCTGAGAAGGATTGAAATGGCAGAGCAAGGAGCTGCCCTGCCTCYTCTGTGTGATCTGTTGCTCTCTGCTAGTTGGGGAGCCTCAGCTTGGTGCCGGGAGCCCTGATGGTGAGGAAGGTCTGCTCATAACACTCTTCCTCCATCCAGACTCCTGTCTCCTCTATGGCCCATCTCTTTCTTCCTGTTATAATTTGCACTGTGTTGAGGTATCCTGGCATTGCATTTGAACATTTTTTTGATTTTAAATGGACTTTYTGGGCTGTGCCATGGTGTGGATGTGACATCGGATGGCAGGGCTGCACTGGAGGAGAGGAAACAAAGACAAGGGTGCTGCTCACAGCCATGAACCCGTCATGAACAGAAGAGCCCAAGGGCAACTTGTTTCCCTGCACAGGGAGGCTATGTATAAATGAAATCCTATACTGGTTTCTCCTTAAACTTGGGAGAGGTCCTTAGCAGCAGAAACGGTCAGGGAGACCTGGAACATCTCCTTTTTTTGCGACTTATAAGAGCCAAAGAGAAAATAAATCTGTTTCCTATGTTGATCTCTCTTTGAGTGACAAAAGCCAGGAGATTTTGTTAGGACTCTAACCTTTCCCTTCCATTAGACTAAATGCTGGAGGGATGATAACTGGTGGGAGAAAAATGAGAGGCATGAGAGAGGATTTGTTTTTTTATCTCGACAGCAAAAGCACAAATGGTTTCATTCTTGTTCATTAAATGAGGCTTCTTTTGCTTGTGGCTTGGATGTTACTCCTGTTCTGAAGAAAGAAAGGGGGGGATCTGCATTTTTGCATCTGCAGAATCTTGGGGGGAACTGAGTTTGGAGCAATTGCTTTCCTGAGGTCTCCTGGGGGCTTAAGTGAGGAGCAGGGGAAAATCCCCCACAAAAAGATTTGCAGTGGAAACCCTTGGCTGAGAATAACTTAAAATAGAACAGCTTTGCCTGAAAAGGGATGAACTGTGTACCATAATACTCAAATCACCAGTTTAATGGCTTCTCTTTATAGCAGCTGGATATTAATAATAGCAGAGACCATACAATTCTTTGTAAGATTAAAATAAATACTGCTACATATGAATACCCGCAACTTTCTGGGGGAAGGCAGCCGAGAGAAAGGACCAAATGGAAGACCAAGGCCTGAGATTTGGGTTCCTCCCCTCTTTTTGCTGTTAGATGAAGGGATTGCATTGCTAACATCTGCAAAGGGACAGGATGCTCTGAATCATGCCCTCCCGGTCCGTTGTTTGGGTTCAGTGGTTTATAGCAGCCTTGTAAGCTTGCCTGTCTGCACCCTGTCAGCACTGTGCAAGACAGGGGCTAYTCCTCTGGGAGCAAATACCTCAGGGGAAGCTAGACTGGTGAGAACTTAGTCTAACCTGTTCCTCACTTGCAAAGGGAACTGAGGATCCCTCCTGCCCTAAGGTATCTGTTGAAATCAGTGGTATGCACTGGATGTAAGGAGCAATCTTTTCATGGTGAGGACATGAAAGCAGTGGAGCGGCTGCCCAGGGACGCTGTGCAGCCTCCATGCCTGGAGGTTTTCAAGACCAGGCTGGATAAATCCCTGGGCAACCAAGTCGGGTTTGTTTCGAGCAGCAGGTTGAGCTAGAACCCTCCCGAGATCCTTTTCCATAGGAATAGGAACGGGTGTAACATTTTGTGCAGGCCAGGACTCCATCTCATGCCTGGCAGTCGTGATTACAGCTCTCCCCSCAGCTGGTGCTTTGCCAGGCCTGGCACTAAAGCAGTCCTGAGTTTCCCTCCCACAACCAGGACTTCAGGCGTCAAAAAAAAAGAAAAGGAAATTTTACATTTTAAAGCTGTCTGCTGCAGACTATTTATCAGACATGGAGAATGATTTGTTTCTGTTTTCCTGGGCATAGGTTTTTAGCTGAGACAAGATATGTTGCCTTGCTAAGAGCTGAGTCACTGGGTAATCAACAGATTAATGTATTCAGCTCTAAAGCCATCAGCATTAGTTCTCGGCAAGCTCACAAGAACTCCATTATTGTATCATCTCTGCATTTGGGATAGAAATGTCTCCAGGATTTAGAGTTCCTGTGGGAAAAATCCCTAGACTCAAAGAAATCAAAATAGCCCTTTGTGACTGGGAGAAGCGAGTTACCTCTTTATACAGCAACAGCAGAGCAGTGCCTTGGCATCCTTTCCCCTGAATGCTTTTATTATCAGCTGTTAGATAAGGAGTTTGGGGTATGTTGTACATCTGTCATTTAGTAGTTGCCTAAAAATAGTTGTGATAAACCCAGTGGCTGTAGGACTTGGCCTTTATCAGGGCTTTAATCTGAAATTATTTCATTGCTTGTGAAACAAGGTAGTTTTATACCTTATTCTGTATGCAGACAGAGGCTTTGAGTGCTCTAGGCTGGTGGAAGGGGTTTGAAGAGCAGCAACACTTTTCCTTGAGACACTTCTTCTTGCAGCCTGTGTCCGCAGCACAGGCACAAGATACGGGACACGTTCTCACTGCTTCCCCAGGTCTGTCAGCACCTATCTCTAGGCTGTCCTTAGGTGAGCAGAAAGCTTGTTCCCTGCACAGGAGGCCAGTGCCAGAGCAGGGGAGATTGTGGCTGTTGTCACCGAGACCCCAGGTTTAGCAGTACAAATCAGACCTCACCTGCAACGGCGCCTACAGCTCCTTGTTGCACCGGGCGCGTGTGCACCAGGCATTGCACAAGGAGGCCCATCTTCCCCTCCCAGATATCTGGACTGTGCAAACACCCTCTCTGCGCTATCTTTGAACTCGAGCAGTGGCATTCACTGCGTTCAGACTTACCCGTCGCTCCTTATCGCCGTACTCGATGCCCAAGGTATCCATGGCACGTACGATGGCTGCCAGAGACTGAATAGTGTTGCTATAGACCACTGGCTTGTACTGCTTCACGTCTTCTCCAGAGAAGCCATCTTCATGGATGATCCTGAAGGAAAGTAAGGACAAAAACCCAATGAGAATGTCATTTCAATAGGAGAAGCAGATATAAAAAGTTGTGCTCTTTTGYGGAGCAGGTTTGCTGGCTTGATTCACTTCATGAAGCCAGGCTGGTTGCTCACCACAAGCGTATCTGACCACAGGTTTAGCATCCCTTCTGCTGTCTCACAAGGAGGTCCTGTGGAGGGTCGGCGCAAGTGGTCSCTGGCCCCCCAACCCAGCTGTAAATGCCGAAGCCTGGACAGCTTCATGTTCACAGGCTCCTGGGTCTCAAGGAGGTTTGCAGGTCCTACCTTCTCTCTCCTGTCTATGGAAATATATCCACTGCTTACGGTAACACCTGGATCTTAACTTGAAACAAGTGGTAGACCTACTTCTTGCCTAGTGCTTTTCATCAAAACTTTTGAGGTGCCTTAAAAAGAACAAGTGTTGATATCTCTCCCATACCCAGGGGGTAAGAGGCAGAGGGGAGAAGCAATTTAGTGATGTAGCACTTAAAGCATTTACAAGCCCTTAAGCCTCCTCCCTCCTTTAAAAACACAGTGCTAGGAGTTCTGCTGACCCAAGGGGTGCTGTGTTATCTCTTCCTGGGATGCTGTGGGAGTTAGGCTACAGCCCTTTCAGCTCTGTGCACTGGATACTTGAGTCTCTATAACAGCTGGTGCTCTTAGTCTTTATTACATGCTGTAAAAGGAATTATTTTCTGGAGTTCTCTCAATCCCTTATTCAGATCTTCCTTGGTAGCCCGAGACCCTTATCTGGGCAGTCCCTTGCAGTGACTGCACACGTGGTGGGCTCCTGCACGAGCTCCTAGCACTTCCTCAGGTCCCCGAGCATCCTCCTCACCAGAGYCCTCTGCTTCTTCCTGAGGAAGACACGGCCCTTTCCAGGGCTGGGCTGCTCTTTGGAGCACTGGGCCAGGGATAAGAAGGTGGCCCAGACGCTCTTGGTAGCTCCGTTCTCATGCTGAGACCTGCGGCTGGTCCCTAAGCAAGACCCTTGTTTTATAGTAGAGCGTTTCTGCTGCYTAAGGAAACTGGTATCTGTAATTCCTTCATCCCTGCTCAAGATGTAAACCTGGCAGTATCTACAAAAYGCCAGGATTCGCAGAGTTAACTGGGTTTAGCAATAATTATTCCCAATGAAGACATAATGGTTATGATCCTGTCTCTTTAATATTAGTAGAAGGGAAGAGCTGTTTAGCCAAAATAAGGTACTTGATTGTTAATCTTCAGATCTCAATGGGTAATGGAGATGGGTCACTGATAAAACTTTAGCATCCTGTCCAGTGTTGTGCTTCTAAATCAGATATGCACCAGCAAAGGTCCACGGGTGCAAGGGAGAGCTGGTGGGGAGTGAACGTGAGCTGGTGCTGGGATGTGGGGCTGGGGTGGCTGTGGGAAGAGCCAGTTGTGTCTTATCCACAGGTGACTCTAGGAAGAACAAGAGTGGTTCAAATGTGCTGGTGAAATTGGGTATCTGCTTGCTGTGGATCTACTTCCCTTCAGTGTGAAGCTTGTGGAAAGGTTTTGTAGCACAAGGGACCGACAACCTGTTCTCCTACCACCCATATGTCTTGTTTATCCCTCAACATTGACCTCCAGGGAGGAATTAACCCACCACAGCCTTTGACTGCTGGAAGAYCAGACTAGAAGCAAAGGCAGCCTGAGATGAGGCAGTAGTTCAAGATGACAAATCCTGTAGGGAAAACTTCAAGCCCCTTGACCCAAGGAATTGGGCAGAGCACCCCGTGAGGAAGGGGAAGTGCTGGAGATGCCGAGAAGAGCGTTGGTTGCTGAAAGCTTTTCTCACTTAGTCCAGACTTACTGATCTGTTGCACCTTTTGCAGTTCTAATTTTGATGAAGACTTATGGACAGTAGCAGAATTCTGCTTTGTGCCTTTTATTCTGCAGGATTTCAGAGCTTGCGCTGAGATTGGAAACGGCCTGAGCAACAGGGAGCGAGGGGGGCCCAGGGCCACRTGTCGGTGCTTGATCTCCCGGGCCACTTACTGTTCCTCAGATAAGTTGCTGAACTCGGGGGGAATTTGCTGTCAAAGCTGAGGAGTTACGAGCAGCACGGAGCAGGGTCTGCATCCGTCCCACCTCGGGTCAAGGGACAAGGTGCAAGTGGCTCTGCCAGGAGCTGGAGAGCAATAAATCCCTCGGAGCAGAAATCTGCCCTGGAGGCAGGCAGTCAATTAGCAAAATAATTTGTGGGTTTTGTTGCTTTGGTTTATTTTGGTGGCCTCGTGTTGGTTCTGGGGCAACTAAGAAAAAGGGAATATGAAAGGGGAAAGGACACATTTGTAGAGGGCATTGATGCTCATCCTTATTAACAGATGCAACAAAAAGTGGTTTATTTGCTTGAATTCACTGACATAAACTTCAGCATGGGAATTGCAAGCATGGAAGCCTGACATAGGAGGCGCGGGGGGACCGTGTGTGCAGCTACCTGGGGCAGGGTAGAGGAGCTGCGGCCCCATTCTGGAACACACCGTGCTGGGCACGGCCTGGTAGCAAGGACTTATCTTTCATGGTGAGAGTGGTCAAACCCTGGAACAGGGACTGGTGAGGTGGGGAAATGCCCATGCAGGAACTGTCTGAAACCTGGGCAGATGAGGCTGGAACGACCTGATCTGAGATGACCCTGCCTTGAGCAGGGGCTGGACCAGATCTTCCAGAGGTCCCTTCCAGTTGGAATTATTGTGAGCTGGTTTCCAACCCTCTAAGCCCCCTATGAGGCAAGAGGGTGCCTTGTGTTGAAGAGGGAGAGCGAAGTGATGGAGACGGGTTCTGGCAACCCCAGTGCATGTTCTGCTGACGGGGCAGTGCGTTGACATCATTCAAGGAGCAGACATGAAAGCATTACTTTTAAATGAGGCATAAAAGCGACTGGAGGAAAAACATGATTGTTGGTCTGTGAATTTTGCTGGGAAGGCAGCCACGAGGCCTGAAAGCAGAGCTGCAGATGGCCAGGATTAAAGTTTTGCTCTAGGAAGTACCTACCGATTAATCAATCATGTGTTTAGCACACTGCTTAATATCTGAGTGAGCAAACCCCCACTGACTAGTCCTGTTCCAGGGACTGCTAGGACACYGTGAACCAATTTATCATCCTATATGTTTTTAGTCAATATTTCTCCTCTTGCTTGCCTTGGTGGTGTGATGGCTGAGCTCCTGTGGCAGTTTTTGTCTGGAGTTCTTGGAAATATCCCTGCTATCACTCACGCTTTTGGGAGGTATCGTTCTTCTGGGCTGCAGAAGGGCTGGTGTGCTCCGTTGCCTCAAGGACAGACCTGCCTGACGTTATGTCTAAAAGACCAACAATGCTCTTGGGAGGTGTATTTGGAGGAGGAGAGCTGGAGCTGGCTTGTTTGAGAGCAAACTGAAACACCCTGTTTGCCTAGGGTACCTACTATGCATCACCACCAGCCCCTGACACCAACACCTGTATGTCCACACATTGTTACTGTCCATCTCGTTTCAGGAGGGCAATAAGAAATAGGTATTCACTAGGGAAAATTGACCACTGCAGGTCAAATCTTCTTGGAATGAGTTACTCGCACTTAGGGAAGTGCCTACTGCCTTATGGATGTATTACAGAAGAAATGAAATAGTTGGAAATGGGGTTTGTGTGGCTTGCTTGTGCTTCTGCTCAACAAAGCACTTGCCTGTCTTCAACCTCTTGCTAAAAAGGTAAAAGTCTTAAAAAAGCCAAGCTAAAGATACCTGTCCTGTGTCCCTGTTGACATGTGCTGCCTTGTTGTGAGGCGGCAGCTCTTGAGCAAAGTCAGTGGGGACCCTGGCAAGCAGTAGGGCTGCATCTCAACRGAGGTTAATCCAAGCAAGGATCTCTCCTGCTTCAGTTACTCTTGGTGGCAGCTTGTCCATCTGTCCAAACAACTTCCCGCAGCAGATGCTCCCCACCCTGCTCCATCTCCAGCCAAGTTATTTTGGTGTTTCACTGCCAGCCCTCCCAATCCTTCCCCTGAGTCATGTTCTAGAGCTGTTATGACTCTAATGGATTTTGCCCCTCTTCACACAAAAGGGCATTATTTCATGTTCTCCATGAAATCTGCAGGCTTTTCTTGCAGAACTGCTACCAACTGATCAGTCTCCCCACTGTGGCTTGTGCTACTGGCTAAATCCACCCAAGTTTTTTGAACTTACTGGTTATCTCAATGGGTTGGCATCCTCACTCTTTCAGATCAGTTCTCCAACTTAAGATCCTCTTAAACTTCCAAACCCACCCTCTAATGTGCTGAAGGACTTTTCCCAGCTCCCCAACACTGATGGTATAATGAAGACACACATTTCATCCTGGTCAATGATAACAAYTCCAACCAAAATCAGCCCTTGCCAGGTCCCTGCAGAGTCCTGGTTCACACAGTGTCCGTCTGACCATGAGCTGTTGGGCAGCTCTGTGCTCTGGGGCAGAGTTCTTGCTGGCTGGCCCTTGTTGTGGAGCAGTTATCTTGGCCAACAGACAAGTGTGACAGTTAAATCCTTTCCAAAATCTAGATGGAACAACTATTTCTTCTCTGCTTCCTGACATGGAAGGAAATAGGCTTAACATGCCTCACTTTCACATAATCCGTGCCTGATGTTACTCATATCCCATCGATCTCCTAGGTGCTCATGAATTTTTTTGATTGATAGGTCAATTCCTTTTGAAAGCATCTGAAGTTAAGCTGCCCGGACTCTAAATGTTTTACTCTTCTGTGTTAAAAGCTAGATTGTTTATATTTTCCCCTGTCTTTTGGTACTTCATCTGTCCTCCAAGAGCTCTCAAGGAGACGTGGTGAAGTTTGAGATGGCCTCAGCCAACTCTGTAAATACGTAGCAACAGGTTCCTTAAGTGTGCCTGGTCTGGAAATATGGACCCTTGCAAAACTTGCTTTCTCTGCATCACCTATCTATATCATAGCTCTTGGTTCTAGAAATGTGATTGCTATTCAGAAGTAGGGGTGTGTGTGGGTTCCTAGGA